TAGGTCGACGAACAATCCGTATGGCAACATCGCGTCCAGTTCAAGGGGAAGACATTTATCTGCAAATCCCTTTGACCTTAATATGGAGATGCCATCGACGCAACCATCTGTGCAGTTCCATTTGACGCGATGGCTTCAAGCTCTAGGGGAAGGCATTCGACTGCGAGCTTTTTCGATCTCAATGTCGATATGCCTTCCAGTTCAAGGGGAAGGCGTGCAAGTAGTAGGTTCTTCGACCTAAATGTGGAGAGCATGGAGGAACCATCATCTCCACCAGAAGAACCGTTTCGTGAGCCTGGTGCGGATGGTGCTGAGACTGGACTATTCATTGACCCAGAATCACCGCAATTCAACTCCGATGATGATGAAGTTCCAGGAAATGTGGCAAAAACTGACCCTCCTGAACACATATATGAAGCTGATTATGGTGCAATGTACGGGCCAAAATTTGCGGATATGCCTCATCTCGGTGACTATGGGTATTACTCATCAATAAATAATTGTGAGTTATCTTTAGGCATGGAGTTTTCAAGCAAATAAGAAGAGATGATGACTATCAAAAATTACAATATCCGTAATTCTGTTCAATCCAGAGTAGACCGCTCTACGACCGAAAAATATGTATGCTATTGTGACCAGCGCGAAAACGGATGCAATTGGATGGTTCACGTATCGAAGAGGAAGAGGAAAAACAGCAGATGGGAACTAACAGTATACAACGGTCCTCACACATGTTGTGCTGGAGGGGTCAACCAAGATTATCCCAACTTGGACTCTGAAGTGATATGCCAAGCCATCATGCCCATGGTCAAAACAAGCTCTCATATAGCTGTTGCAGTGTTGATTTCAGCTATATAATCGCAGTATGGGTACACTGTCTCCTATAAAAAAACTTGGTTGACAAAACAAAATGCCATTGTCAAACTTCATGGCGAATGGGATGCATCTTACAACAAACTTCCAGGTTGGTTTAGGCTGGTGCGAACGTTGAATCCTGGGAAAATTGTGGACTTTGAAACCTCCTATGCATACCATAATGATCGAGTTCTTCGCGTCGATGCCAATTCTACCGGGTTTTTTGGAGTTACCCACAGTGCGTTAATGTTGTCAAATACTGCAAGCATGTGGTCCAGATCGACGGGACTTTCTTGTATGGAAAATACAAGCAAGTTTTATTATTGGCAGTTGTCCAAGATGGCAATCGCAACATTCTTCCAGTTGTTTTTTCTCTTGTCGAATGAGAAGATACAGCTTCTTGGGCTTTTTTCCTCCGAAATTTACGGGCACATGTTATCACGAGGGAAAACATTTGTGTAATTTCAGATCGTGGAGCTGGGATCAAAGCAGCAATGGAGTCTTTGGGTCCAATGTGGCAACCACCCTTTGTCCAACATAGGTATTGTCTTCGATACATTGCCGCGAACTACCATGGAAGGTACAAGAAGAATGATGAGCGTCAATTAATTGTGCGCATGGGTAAGTGAAACTTAGCAAGTTTGTTTTCTTTCGATCGTTTTAATTTTGCAAAGACAACAAGTTAGCAAGTTATATATGTTTTGATCAGGTTACGAACTACTTCCTCGAACGTTTGAATCAATGTTTCAAGAGTTGCGGGCGAAGAACGAGGAAGGATATGATTATATCAGCCTCATCGATAAAGAAATATGGACGAACACATATGATGGTGGATATCGATATGGACACATGACGACCAACTTGGCAGAGGCAATCAATTCAACCTTAAAGGGTGCACGTCACTTACCAGTAGCGGCTTTGGTAAAGACTACATATTTTCGTTTTGGGGCACTTTTTGCGAAGCTCGGGGGACAAGCTAAAACCTGGATGCAAGGTGGTCATGTCTATCACCCTAAATTAGTTGCAAATCTACAGAAAAAAATTGCTGCATCAAATGGAATGTCTGTAACAAGCTTCTCTATAAGGCATGAAATGTTTCATGTCACAGAGTTGCCGCGACCTCTTCAAGGGATTGAAGTTGTGTCGTTAAGAGTAAATCTAAGGGACAAAATGTGCGACTACGGGTTTTTTCAAGCTCTAAAGTATCCATGCTCTCATGTGATAGCAGCTTGCTCGTATACACGTCAAGACTATAACCATTTTGTGGATCCCGTATACCTACTATCTGAAGTTTTTAAGGTATACGAATTTGAGTTTCCCCCATAGGTAATGAAGAAGACCCTGATGAGGTTCAAGATTGGCTTCTGATTGTACCAAATCTGAGTTTTATTGAGGGAGCGTGGTCGTCCAAAATCCAATCAAATATATGGATATTAGAGAAAGATCTAGACAAGACAGAAGATGTGGTCATTGTAGAAACCCAGGACACACTAGAAAAACATGTCCAATTCTGTTGTCATCAAGTAACAATTGATGAGGAAATGATGTATTTTATTATCAAATAATAATTCTTCTACTTTAATTTGCATTTACTTCAAGTTAATGTCATTTGATAATCACCGATAAGGATTAAAAAACAAACACAATCATTAAATTTTAACAAACTAATAACAATAAGTATTAAATGGTAAATGATAACCAAATTACAATAACTGATATTAAATGGTAATAAAAAAAATGAACTGAAATACATTAAAAAGTCCAACAAATTTAACAAAATAAAGTAAGTATTAAATGAGAAATAATAAAAAAAATTACAATTTAACAAAATAAAGTAAATACAAAATATAATAAAAAAACAAAACTATAGATGCCTATGACGCGAATGTGTTCCGCAGGGCGGTGGCTGTCAGTCTCGAGGAGGATTTCTTCGTATCACTGGTTCTGACTCCTCGCTGTCATCATCACAAAATAGAGTAAATACAAATATAATCCTATCAGCTGCAGTATGCATGCCCGTGCATACATCTTAACCTCATCCTCAGAGGTGTCTGCGCTCAACTCCCGAAAATTGGCATCTAACCAATTTAACGGTATCCTACCTCCGATAAAATTTTCCGGGACACGTCCTAGACTATCCCGACATAAAGCAGTCCAAGAACCGGAAGCTATCATCGATATCACATCTCCATCCACCGGAAGCCCCAGGTGCATAGAAACATCCTCAAGCGTGATCGTGAACTCTCCGCACGGAAGATGGAATGTGTGGGTCTCCGACCTCCACCGCCCTACTAAGGCAGAAATCAGGTTTGGCTCTATCTTACAGTGACCCTGATATCTACCTATATAACCGAATCCAGCCTCTACTAAATACGGCAAGACACGGCTGGGTATCACTAACTTAAGATTCTTAATAAAAGGATCTAATACACGGTCCTTCTCCTAAAAATAAATAATTACAAAAATTAATTCTTAATCTAATAATCATGTATTAAATGAATCAACTAATTATTAATAATAATTTAAATTAAATTAAAACGTTAAAATGTTATCGTATCAGCAAAGTGTCGAGATATTTAATTATTAATATAATAATCATGCATTAAATAAATAACTAAATATTATTAATAATTTAAATTAAAACGTTAAAATGTTACTGTATCAGCAAAGTGTAGAGATATATGATTTCCATCCGAGCGAAATAGACTGCCTTCCATTATATATCTGTAAAAGAATTATATTAGTAAAATATTAAATAAAGTAAAAACATAATAGTAAAAACATTATAAAATATACCTTAAAAAGAGAGTATTTGAGAGAAATTTAGAGAATTTGAGAGAATTTGGTGTGATAAAAGTGATTGAGGACGGGGGTATTTATAGGGAGGATGGGGGAGGGGAGGGGTCGATAATTAGGGGTATAGCGCACCCCCTGTACCGCGCTATACCCCACGTGTCAGATATACAGGTATAGCGCGCTGCAGCGGCCGCGCTATACCCACGTGGCGCCAGCTCACCGTATAGCGCAGTGCAGGGGGCGCGCTATACCCCACGTGGCGCCAAATCATCGTATAGCGCGGTGCAGAGGGCGCACTTTACTGCTAAGGGTGTTAAATCAGGAAATATAGTATGACCGATGTTAAATCAATAAAATTACCGATCACCGGTGATATATCGAGAAAATCGCCCACTACTTTGCTTCATCTATTCTGCCTAGAGGAGTGCAGTGCAAATAATATAAGATGATTTTAGTCCATTTAACCATAGTCTGTTCCAAATAAGCAACCATCTTCCAAAACATTCAAAAAAGGATTTATTTTGATTCCTAAAGCTTCCTTAGGGCTCCAGAAAGTCAAGGGAAACCAAAGATGTATAGTAAGATTCTATATTTTCTTCCCTTTTTCAAGCTATATATATCAAGGAGCCGGGAATCTTTTAAGACATATTGCACATTCCAATCAAATTAATTGAAAAAAGAAAAAGGAAAAGAAAATTGAATTATTGTGAATCCAATCGGGCATATGTCTCCTCCCCAGCCTGGATAGGTTCGGCCGAAAGTGTATACATATTGAGAAATCATTACATTATAAAATATATTTATTTATTTATTCAAATAATTTTATATGATATTTGACATTACAGTTATAAACAACACATAGGATATGCAATCATTAATGGTTTTTTTTATATATTCATTTAGATATTTACTCTTTTAAAATGTGTTGTATTTATTTTTTATTTATAAAATATAGTATTAAAACCTTTAGGGCCAGCCTTGGATTACGTAATTTACTATTATTAATTGATCTGATCTGATTATACATGTTAATAATTATTACTTTAACTATTTTTAAGTTTCATATTTCAAAAAATAATAAAAAGAGAGAGAGAAAAAATATAAACATTAGCATCAGTTTAGCATTGTGGTTAAGATATAAGTAGTTAGCTAGCTGGAACAAAGCTTGCATTTTGTTATTGGTTAAAGAGCTTCTTATGGTAGAGGGGTCACTTTGGGTTGCTTGGGTGAGATCTTACGTTTTTAAGGGAGTGGATCTCTGGTCTGTTGAAAGTAAACCATATTTCAGTTGGTGCATACGGAAAATCTTAAAAGTTAGAGAGGAAGTGCAACCCCTATTCTCGGGGATCATGGACTGGGGCAGAATTAATGCTCGTTGGCCGTGGCAGGAGATTAGAGGGAGGACAGTGAAGGTAGAATGGCATAAGGCTATATGGTTTCCTTTGCACACTCCCAAGCACTCTCTCATTGCTTGGATGGCTATCCTCAACATATTGCCAATGGTTGACAGACTTATCCGTATGGGGATTGGGGTGGATGATAAGTGTAGGCTATGTAGAGCCGAGGCCGAGACCCGCAGCCATGTCTTCTTTGAATGCTCATACACGAAAGCTATTTGGGAGATGATCAATCGATTGTGTAATATCGACATAACAGTGGAAAGTTGGGATGAGGAATTAAGTTGGGCAGTCTCCAGATTCAGGGGGAAAACTTTTCTTGTTTTTATAGTTAGAACTGCCTGGTGTGCATATATATATTGTATATGGGAAGAAAGGAATCATAGACAATTTAGGGGTCACAGTAGGGATGTTGCTAATGTAGTGAATTGTATTATTGAGGTTGTTAGGATGAAATTTGTTCGTATGGTTATACAGAGTAGTGTAGCCAATAGGGACCTTTGTCTAGCTTGGGGAATTAGATCCTCTTAGGAGGTGGGTGTTGGTTTGTGCATTGTATTAGTTGTAACAGTGTGTTTACTATTGCTTCTTGGATAATAATATGAAATTTATAAAAAAAAAAAAAGTAGTTAGTTAGAGAGGAAAAAAAACATAAGGGAAAAGCAACACGTTTAGCTTGCCTCTTTGTCACGTCTGCGCTGATTCACCCAATCCGTCATCTCAGTCAAGCCCCCCACTTATGACCCTATAAATTCATCCCGGTACAATACAATTACACGGTGGAAATAATTTTTCTATTTTTTATTTAATTTAATATTAATGAGTAAATATAAATTAATAGTTTAAATTAAAAATAATTTTTAATGAACTATTGCTAGTTTTATTTATTTTTCGATTAAGTGAAGATATATTATATTTTCAAAGTAAATATAAGAATTTAAATTCATGCAAAATGAGATAAAATAAACATCTTTAACCGATTAATGGATCTTAAATAATTTTAATAATTAATTTACACAAAATAATTCTAAATTAATTTAAAATTTTTTAGTTATTATATTGTGCAAGTGTCACATGGCCATTACGTTTTCTTTCTTAAATTTTAGTACATTTTTTCTTCTTCTTTTGGACGTAGGATTAATGTCTATCAACTCTCCAAGGCATGCTATTATCCTCTACTCAATTTTGTGACACCATTGTCACAATTTATTTACCTTGCATAACTCACTCGGTAAGGTGCTCGACCTGAAAGCAAGTAGTAAAATAATCATTCTTACACAACTTATGAGATAAATTAATATGTAAAAGAGGTATGAATTTTGAAACAAAATTTACTTCATCAAATTTTTAACCCATCCAATTAGCTGCCAACACGTGCATGAATGATGTTTAAAATCCCAAAATTACCCTCATATTTTGACAAAATGGACATAAAACTCCTCAGATTCCGCGTAAAATTCGGCGCTCTGTTTAAAGGTTAAAGTAAAAACGTGTCGGTGTAGTCTTTTGGAACTTGAAGCTCATCTTTTTTAAATTTATTTTAACCCACACTTTTTCCTTTCCTCTTCCTTTTTTGAGTCACCAACTTCCATTTAATCCATCGTATAAAAATAGCTTTCCGTTAACTTCAAACTTCAATCATAAGGCATCTTACTCATTTCCTTTCAACTCACTCACTCAATTCACCTCTTCCCCTTCTTCTTTCCCAAGAAAACTCATTTTATCCAAACAGGGAATCATTTTTCCCCAGAAAAATGAAAAAAATTCATACAATTACCGCTGTTTCGACATTCCTGGCGAGGTTTTTGAGTTCAGTACTGGTTGGTTCAGAAGAAACCAGTTCCAACGACATCAAATGCACCCCATGCCAGCAACAAAACCCATCGCCGCCTCCACCGTCTCCACCTCCACCTGCTTCTAGCTCCAACTACTGTCCACCACCGCCGTCTCCACCCAGCTCTAGCGGTAGTGGTGGTAACTACTACTACTCTCCACCACCACCACCATCACAATCCGGAGGTGGTAACAACTACTACGCTCCTCCGCCGCCAAGTGGCGTCATCGGTGGCATGTATTACCCTCCACCGACGTACAAAAACTACCCAACGCCGCCACCTCCGAACCCCATTGTGCCTTACTTCCCATTTTATTACCACACTCCCCCGCCGCCTTCGGGGTCTGAAAAACTGCTAGCTTGTTGGGTCTCAACTCTTGTTCCCTTGATGTGTTTCTTCCTTCATGCCTTTAGACATTGAAGAAAGGAAAATGGTGAAAATAATGTGGCAGATCAGGGGAAAATGAAGAAGATCAAGCAAAGAAAACTACAAAACACGTGGAGTAAAACTTCTCTTCATTTCTTGCCATAGTTTGTTTTCTGATCATTTTTGTTTCATTAATATTTGATGTTAATCGGAAGTTAATAACAAAATCAGTCACTTTTTCCACAATAATTGAGCTTGGGTTGGAGGTTTTATTTGTGTCCAAACGTGTTGGCCCATGAAGTAAGGCGAGTTATGGTTGTTTATTAATTAATTAACCATTTTAATAGTGCTTAGGTCTTTGAATTAGTATCGAGATTTACATGCGACTTATAGGGTTTCTTTTATGGAAACTATATAATTTGACTAAATTATCACAAAAATGTTGGCTACTCGAAAATATTTTTTTATTTTTAAATTTTTTAGTTACCTTCAATTATAGAGTTTAATTTTTAGTTTAAATTGAGTTAGAATATAAGAAATTTAAGTAAATCAAAAAACTTTTTTTTTTCAATTTGATCTATTAATTTTTATTTTATTTATTTAATCTTTTGACCGTAATTTATTTTACATTTTTTTTTCTATCAATTATTTGACTCTTTTATGCTCATATCAATATTTTATTCTCAAATTATATTCTTTAACAAATAATATTATAAATATTAAAAAGTTGATGAATATATATATATATATATATATATATATGCACATCTTATCTGATTAGAGAAAATCAATAAAAAAAATTTATTCCATAATATTATAAATAATGCTAATTAAATTTATATAGAAACTAAACAATTCGACTTAACTCAAACTCAAAATTTATAGATACGAGTCGACTCAAAAAAATTAAATAAAATTTAAATTATAAAATATAATTTATCAATTAATTAAGACTATTTTTTTAATTTGACTCAGCTCAAGTCTATCAAATACATTTTTTGGACGTTGGATTGAAAAAATATATACTTTAAGAGGCTATATAATTTTGGTTGAAAAATTAAATAGGTGTATGAACAATAATGCATGGTGGGTGGCACAGCCGAAAGGATAATAGTAGAAAAATTGGGAGTTCTGACATACATTTGATCTGCTCATCTCTCAATGTTGATTACTGGGCACCAATCTTGACCACCCAATCTTAATCTTTGGGGCATTATCCCAATCTTGGCAGGGTAGGCTACACGCAATAACAATTTGAAGGGTTTTTTCATGACAACTTTTACTTTGCTTTCACAAGGGCATTTTATGAACGTGGAGAAAAAGCGGGGGTTGTCCTTTATTTTTAAGGGGTCCCTTACCCTTATATATATATTTTTGTATATTTCTTAAAATTAGTATCATAATGAAAGCCAAAATTAAAGATAGGTTTGACAATTAACCATAGCCATAAAATACCCGAATTGATACGGGCATAAAAATTATTATCTTATTGAGTGAGGAATTACAGGGAAAATGAGCTGGATGTCACTTAACATGTTCATCAATGATGGGGACCAATTATCCAAAAAAAAATGTTGGGGACCAGCCAAGTAGGCTAAAGCTGTCCCATCAACTCAACTAAATACTAAACTGCATTCTCCATTGCGGAATGATCGAAAAATAAACATGATCAATATTTTAATATAATAAAAAATATGATAAGATGTTAACCGTGTTTGAATAAAATTCATATTTGTAGTCTTGTATATATAATGTACAATGTTATTATAAAATATGACATAGAATTAAGTAATTAATTATGTTATATGTGTTATATATATTAAAGTTACATAGAATAAATGTGTAGATACCATAAGTTGTATTTATAATTTGATGAAGGACAAAATTATAAATACTTAAAAGATTGACCTAATATTCAATCTATATAAAGAGTAGTAGTCTCCAAGAAATATGTTAACTTGTATTAGTCTTATCCCGTCATAGAGTTTTTATTACAAGAGTAAACTTACCTTATTGGAAGATCACAACCAAATAAAGACTCAAAGATTTCAATATATCAATTAATTCAGGTAGACTTCTACAAATTTAATATTTTATTCTTGATGATTTGATATGATTAATTTTCATATTTCTTTATAATTTAGTTATAACAAACTGTCGATATCACAATTTAAGAACATTATAAAAGTCTTTTAATATGTGATAAATATAAAAATAAAATTTAGAAGAATAAGAATGAGGAAGAAAATAAAGACGAAAGAAGGTATTGAGAGATGAAATGGAGTGAATAGTGGTTATCCATTTTCAAAGGCCCATCAATCAACCAAAGTATGGAATCTATTTCTAAAATAGTATACGAGGAAGGAACAACCGCAACAATAAGAAAAACGAGTTCCAATTATCATACTAAACAAAGTTACAACGTTGCAAGTTCTAACCAAATCAATACAGCAAATCCTGCAACAAAACATCCCTCTTGACACTATCCACAAGCCATCCAAGTTTAACACGGGATATGCGGTTTCTTGATCCATGTTTTAGAGCATGCTGCGTCCACAAATGTTTAACTAATATTAAGGCTCACTATAACAAAGACAACAAATAGTTTCTAGAAACGGCCGGGGATAATCTGGAGCTGGAAAAATAAGCATATGTTACTTTTCTCTGAACTATTCTGTTTGGAAATTAAAAATTTTGGGGTGCTATTTTATTAGAACAAAAAAAGATTAAAAGGGTCTTATTTTAATAATTTAGCCCCTAAAACCCTCATCTCCCACACCCGTCTCTAGCATGGTGAGAACCGTGTCAGTGAAGGTTATAGAGGCAGCAGCTTTTTAGAGAGGGAAAAAGGGAGTTTGATTATTGGCTTTGCTCCACTGCCTTTAACTTCGATATTATCAAACCCAAACTGCAAATAAATAAATAAACCCATTATGCAGCTAGTAATTTTGAATGAAGATATTGTGTGGTTTGGACGGTGACTACCAATCGAAGAGGGTTTGGGAGGCTCTTCGGCGCAAGCAAGGATAAGGCCCTCGGTTCAAAATCATCTGGGCCTGGGGTGATTTGTTTATCCTCCATCACTCCATCTCTTGATTAATTTTTTTTTATCGTTTGTCGATGAAAATTCGTATGTTCCTTTGGGGAGGGGGTCACATAGACCCTACTAGTGTTCATTGTGATTATGGTGTTGAAAATAGAGATCGTCTTTTTACTGAATGTAGCTTCTCTAGGTGGGTTTAGTCTAGTGTTTTACAAGCATGTCATGTTGATTGGTCTGTGTGTTGTTGAGTGGATATAATGAGTTGGATTCAAGCTCATCGTAGAGGGGAGTCCTTGAAGGCGACCATCACTCGAATAGCCTGATGCTGTATCTTTATTATATTTGGCATGAGAGGAATGGTAGATTACATGGGGCTAGTCCTCATCGAGTTAAGTGTATGGTTCTGCAGATAAGGCATTATGTCAGATTGAGGTTGAAGGGATGTACTATGATAGTTCTTTCTTTCTTTTGTGCTTGCTGCAGAATGAGATTTGGTATAGCTTTTCTTTTCTTTTGCTTATGGTGTTTATAGGTGCTGCATTATTTACTTTCCCCTGGTTGTAATTGGTTTGTATAGTGGGGTTCTTTTGGATGAATAAAATCAACATTTATCCAGAAAAAAAGATATTGTGTTGTTCATATTGGTCACTCATTCCCTGGGAAAATTACGTACAGTAACCTAAGTAAGATCCTACTTTTGTATTAAACTATAAAATGATGTATAGTATTTAATCGAGTCGAATAAAAATCTTTTAAATTATTCGAGTGATGAGTCTCATTTTATAACTCAAAGTTTTTTCTCTTAATATATGCATGTGCCCACCCTAATTTTTTTTTATCTATTTAGGTATAAAAATTTTATATTATTAATATACTTGTGCCCACCCTCAAAATTTTTTCTAGATCCGTCACTACATATATTGTACATAAATGAGGGATTCAACTCAAACTCAAATTTAATTTTTTTAGATAATTCAAATTCATGAAATTATGAGTCAAGTCAAATTTTTAACGTTGATTCAAAGTTTTAATCACTTCTATCATTTTAATGTTTTAAAAATAATGTTTTATATTTATATAAAATAGTTTTAATAATTTTAAAAAATAAAGTTGGAATTAAATAATTATAATAAATTATGTAAAATATAATTTAAATAAGACATGGTAGCAAAATAATACAGGAGAAAATAATACTCAGACAACAAAAAATATGCAAATATTTCAATTTAATTATTATGGTTTAAAGATTAATAATATTTTACCAATAAGGGTTGGTTCAAGTGATAAGTAGCTTGATATCGCTTGAGTAAGGTCTCAAGTTTGAGTCATTGTGTATGCAGGAAATCTCTGTTGGGAGACTCATTCGTCAAAGTCAGTTGTGCAACGTGGGTCGATCTGGATTAGTTAAAGTAAATCCTTGGAATCGAGAGGACAAAAAAAATTTAAACACATAAAAAATCGAGAACACTAATATAAACACATTTTTTTTTCTTTAAAATGAATAGTATAAAATATAAAAATACGAGATGAATTATAACATATTATATAAAATATTATTCTATAAATTAAATCACTATGATATACCCTTCAATACATAATGTGACATGAAAATGATATGCACACTTAAATATAATATGAATTATTAACACATGTGTCCTTATGATAAGTATGAATTTATTTAGGGTTCGAAACGTCATATTGATAATAAAGTATGTGAGTTTATATTAAAATAAATTTATAGTGAAAAAATTAAAAATACGATACTCAAAAAATGAATACAATACAAATAATTGAAGAGACAAACTCAACCTAAAATAATTTTTAACATTATTGATAACAATTACAAAAACATTATTATTTAAATATTGATAATAAAGTTTGTGTATTTTTTAATAGATTAGATTAATTTTTTTATTTAGTCGTATGACTTCGGTTTTGATGTTGGTTGTCGTCCGTCAATTCTCTTCTCTTTGTTTCTTTTTGATATTTTAATAAAAATAGTTATACCTTT